AGCATGTAGTTGGCACACCACAGGACCGTACACGGGCCAGGCGCGACCCAGTCCGGCCAAGACTGCTGGCGCATGGCTCTGACCCCCTCGCGGAACTCCTTGTGACGCCGGCCCTCCTGGTCGTAGGAGACGGCCAGCGTGCGGAAGTCGTCCCCTGCAGCAGCTGGTGGAAGCCCAGCGCCCCCTGCGAGAGCAGCGTGGAGGCCTTCGTGCCCGGCCGCAGCGGCGGCGGCGGCCGCGCCGCCGCCCATGCCCCCTGCCGCGGGGGCCCCCGCTGCTGGGCCCAAGGCGGCCGCAGCGCCAGCAGCTCCAGCACCCGCTGCGACGTACGCTGGAGCAGGAGCCCCGGGAATGGGTGGAGGCGCCAGAGCACCAGCGAGGCCGGCAGGCCCGGCTGCAGCGGTAGGTGCGATGGGCGCCGCTGCTGCAGCGGCAGCGGCGTGGCCCAGCCCGGCAGGCACGACGGCGTCGGCGCCCCCTGCGGCGGCCAAGGCGGCGTCGTGCTCGGCGACGAGCCTGAGGGCTGCAGGGCGCAGCGCGTGGTAGTCGGCGAGCGTGAGGGGCTGCGCGAAGTCGTACACGGGGATGCCTGCAGCCGCGGCCGGCGGGGGCCCCCCGCCAGGAGCCCTGCGATACCAGGCACGGATGTCCGTGTTGGCGGGCTCCAGCTCCTCCACGTACAGATCGTTGTCGGGAGTGACCACCACTGCGTGGAGGGGCTGAAGCTGAGAAACACCCACCACACTGCGGCCGTGCAGCAACGGAGGGTCGACCGCATACTCGATGAACAGCTCATCACCCTCTATCATTTAATCACGCCCGAACCCCGCGGCTGCTGATGCGCTCGGCTGCCCGCAGGCAACACAGACGGCGCTGGCCGGGGCGCCGGTGGAGGCTGCTCCACCAGGGCGCGTCGGCAGCACCCCAGCCCGGCAAGCAGCCACCGAAGCGCCTCCACGAGCAGCGGGCCCGCGAGCGACACTGCAAGCTGCTGCCCAGGCTCCTGCCCGGCCCCCGCCGAGCACTCCTGGAGCAAGGCGACGCACTCCTCGATGGAGGGCGGCCGCAGCTCCACGATCGGCTCCGCGCACGGCGGAGCAGGCTGGACCCAGGCGGCGCAGGCCTCGGCTGAGGGCGCCTCTGGCTCCAAGGGCGCCTCCGCAGCCGGCGGAGGATCGGGTGGTGGCGGCCCGCCACCAGAAGGCGCGAACCCGCGCGAGGCTGGACCGAGGGCGAACCCGGCCAGGAGGAGGGCGATCGATGAAATCCAGGCCTCCTCTGGCCGCATCTCGAGAGAAAAGGCTACGGAGGCAGATAAAGATGACCTTATCCCGCAACTCCGAGATGGACATTGATGTCCAGCGGCACTCATTCAGCCCCAGGATTATAGTTCAAGAGCGCCCATCATCATCATCATCATCATCATCATCATCTCATCATCATCAACAGCATCATCATCATCAACATCATCATCATCGGGACACCATCATCATCATGATCATCATCAACACCATCATCAACATCATCATCACTGGGACACCATCATCATCACCACCATCACCATCATCATCATCATCAACATCATTATCATCATCATCGGGACACCATCATCATCACCACCATCACCATCATCATCATCATCATCATCAACATCATCGACATCACCATGATCACCGGGACAACGACGGGACACCGGCGGGACACCGCGCCCCACCGGACGCCGGAAGGGAGTCATTTGGTCCGGCCGCGCCTCAGCCGGAGGCGGGACACCGGCGGGACACCGCGCCCCACCGGTTGCCGGAAGGGAGTCATTTGGTCCGGCCGCGCCTCAGCCACAGGAGAATTTCTTCTCGCCCGCCCACGCAGCTTCGCCTCACCCGCACGCACGGCACGCATGAACACGAAACCGAAATCGATTTCCTAGTAGGGGGGCTCTCCGTTCCACTTCGATCTCACCCCTCACCTCCGATACACATATTCCCAAATCAATCCTTGCACTGAAGGGGTCATAGCGGTGAAAACTTTGGCGAACATTTTGGGACGGTTTCGAAGGGCGGCTGGGTTCCCGGGTTCCCGGTTCCGAGTTCCTGGGTTCCCGGGTTCCCGTTTCCAGGTTCTGGGCTGATTTCGGTGGGCGGCGGGGCTCCCGGGTTCCAGAGTTCCTTGTCGATCTTCTTATCGATCGGTCTCACCATCGATCTCATTCTCCACCTCTCTATCGATCTCACAATTAATGTCACAATCGATCTCACGATCAATCTCACAATCGATCTCACTATAGATCGCACGAGCGATCTCAAGGTTGATGTCGTTGAATCGACTTCATTAGATCGACTTCGCTGTCGTTCTCACGATGATCCCAAAATCGATCTCAATATCCATATCACTTACTTTCAAACCATCCACTGATTGGGTTTTCCGCTGATGAAATGTTATTTCCCCAATCAGTGCTTACACTGAAAGGTCCTAGCAGGGATTGGAGGATTTAGCGAAACTACCAAGCCGATTTCGGTGGGCGGCCGCGTTCCCGGGTTCCCGGTTCCGGGGTTCCCCGTTGCTAATTCTGGGCCGATCTCGGTGGGCGGCGGGGTTCACGGGTTCCCGGGTTCCTTGTCGATCTTCTTATCGATCGGTCTCACCATCGATCTCACTACCCACCTATCCATCGATCTCACTATAGGTTGCACAATCGATATCATTGTAGATCGCACGTGCGATCTCACGATCGATTTCACTATCGGTCTCACTGAATCGACTTCACTATCGGTCTCACGATCGGCCTTACTATCTTCCACATGATCGATCCCACGATCGATCTCACTATCGATCTCACAATCGATCTCAATATCCATATCCCGAGTTTTCAAACCATCCACTGATTGGGGCTTCTCTCTGGCGTAATCTGTGTTTGTATATTCGTGCATGCAGATCCACCGCCTGCCGAGGTGCCCGAAGATCGATTCCCCAGGCGGCGGTCCTGCAGAGACCCCCGCCTCGGAAAGATGGCAAATCGGGGCACTAGGCAAGAGCGGCGCGCGCTGGGGCGGGCCCCGCGCGCGCCCCCCTGTACCAGTGCAAAGCCCTAGCGGAGGCGGTCTCGGTGGAGCCGTGTAGGCGCGCTGAAGACGCGGCTGCGGAGCGTGATGAGAGGTCGTTAGCACCGCTTCCAAGCATCCAAGGTGTTGAAAAATCCACATGGATGTTTTACGTCGATTTCAGCCTCCAGGGGCCACAGACCGTCAAAACTGACCCCTGATGAAAACTGGCCCTGGCCAACGGTCGGGACTTCCAGGGACTCCGCATGGAACAAAACAATACACAGGATGTGTCTGGGCTTGCCGCAGCGGCCACCAGGCCTGAACATCATTCTCCAGGTCTGATGCGGGAGCGGTCGGGGCGAGTGCGACCTCTAGGCGCCTGCGCCTCCCCCTGTCTCTCTTGCGTCCTCCCCCCTGCCCACCCAGCCTCATCGCAGGCCTCCCCGGTCCGAAAATCGTCCCCGTTGGTTTCACTCACCTGTGCTCCTCTCGGCTCCAAAGCAGTTCCAAGACAGCCCAAGACGCTCTCAGACCAGCCAGAGGCAGCCCAACAGTCGTCCAAATGCCCAAGGTTACACAAAAGACCCAGAATCCCCCGAGAGGCGCCAAGCCCGCAAACGAAATTGATCCCCCCAGTAGTTTTCGGCTCAAGGTGAAGGATACTAAGCCAAATTAGGTGGCCACTCAGCGCACTCAACCCACTTAGCCTGGACCAAAACCAGGATTAAGCGCGATGCAACTGTATTCTGCGAATTAAACACAACGGAGCGGGACTATGCTGGATTGCGTCTGCATTCGACTACGGATACGCCAGCGCCGGTGCTGATTTTGACCTCCCAGGAGCTACATCCCAGGTCACGACCGCTCCATGCTACAACATTTTGAACATAATCCCAAATCTACGAGAACGGCATCTATGCACCGACCAGAGTTTGGACTCCCTTCAGGCCCCGCTCCAAAGCGGTACGATGCATATCTGTTTCTGCACTGCGGGCCGACCAACTACGCGCCGTACTGGTCCTGGGAGGGGCCAACACGGTATGGTGCACACAAGTCGCCCGCGGAAAGACAGCCCCACCATGGCTGTGCTAGACCAGCTCAGGAGACATCGGCAACACCAGCCTGCGGTCAATGTCTATGCCAACCTCACACGGCGGGAGGGCCTGCCCACTGGCGCTCCGCGGCGGGCTGCTTCCGCGCTTGATGGTTTTCCCTGAGGCCTGATCGACGCGGCTTTTCAGGACGCACGAGTCCTGCATCGCGCCTCTGCGTTGTATCCTCTGCCGGACATCAGACCCAGACCCCCTCGCGTCGCGAACAAAAACACAACGGGAGATGTTCAGCAAGCTCTGGCGTCTGGGGGCCCTCACTGGGCCAGGGGACCGTCGAACAACTACTCAGGATGAAAGGGCATTCCCATGGAAGGGTTCCAGACCTCTGGGGTTCCCCCCGGTCCTTGAAAAATCATGCCGTCGGGGATCTGGGGACCGACCCATGGTACTTCTTGGCCGACGCGACGGGGGACCCAGCAGTCTTCGGTGCGGGCCAGAGCGGGCCGCGTACCAGCTCGATTGTCCAACTGTGCGAAAGAGGGCGGAAGCAGGAGCGGCCGCGGAGGGAGGCAAAAAGGGGACAGGCCCACAGCACAGAGAAATGCCACCCGTGCCTGCCCAGCGCGACCGCCCACATCGGGCAACGCGCCCGCACCAACTCCTGGCCCCTAGCTGCGGCACCTTCGAGGCTGCTGATGCCAGCATCCATCAGGAGGGCGGAGCGTAAGGATGCAAGGCGCCTTGGACGCCCCAAGAATCCAGAGTACCCTTGGACCCATCAGGCGCAACGCCGACAGAGGATGCCCCGCAGGGGATGCAACGGTGCCTCGCTTCAGGGGCTCATCCTTGAGGCTAACCTTGGCTGCTGCAGATGCTGGAAGGCAAACGTTGGGGCTGGTGCGCGGCGGTCCTTGGGCCCGAAGCGCGATCCCGCGTCGGGGTTGGGCGCGATCCTGACCTCGGGGGGGCGCCAACTATACGCCAGCACAGATCCTGGACAGGCCACTCCCTTGGCCCAGGGCCGGAGCCGACGCCCTCGTGATCCGGCCAGGAGGGCGTGCACACCGATCCTGTGCTCAAGATTTGCTTGGCCAAGATCGGTGCAGGTGGATGGTCTCAGACCCCACACGCCGTGATTGTTTGACATCGTGGGCCCCAGGAAGTCTCGACCCCTCCCCCGGTGCCCAGCAAGGGTCCCTGGAGGCCGAACACAACCAGAAAATCGCCGCCGTGATTGCTCCACGATGTGAAAAGGGGTCTGCTTTGGGGTCCAGAACTTGGGCCTCTGGCTTTTTGTTCGGGCCTCGGAGAGATCTCGACGAGGCGCGGCTGCTGGGAAGCGCCCCGAGGCTTGAGGACCTTCTGGGAACCGGCGAAGATGTCTGACAACATCGCCGTGATTTTGCTCACGACGCGAGAGGTGCCCAGAGGAGCACAAAACTTCAAGATTGAGATCAGGCCTCCACTTTGGAGACGCTTTTGTTCCTCTATCCTGAAAGCCGTTCTCCTTCAAACTGGAAGCCCGTCCGGCGAAATTGAAGATGTTCTATCTTCTGGCGGGCCACGGGTTGCTCTTAAACACGATGGGGGCGTCTTTGCTCCGTTTTCTAAATGTTGCCATTGGCTCAACCAAACGTTTGAACAAACAACTGCCCCGAAAGAGGGCGTCATGCACGCGGCATGGTGTTAGTAAAAACGTTTTGAGAACGCTATGAGAACGGAAAAGAAACGGGAAGGTGGGCCACGGACATATTCCGGACCCAAACATATATACAAACATCCCAAACATAGCACAAAACACAAACGCCGATATATATAATCCAGCAACAACAAAACATAACATCTTGAGAAAATCTGTACGGGCCTCACAACGGGGGTCCGAGTAAATGGGGTCGGGGGATCGAGCCGCATCGCCGATGTATCGGCGACGTCGGCGGTGCATCGGTACCGCCGGCGTGGAGGATATCGGGCTCCACATCGAGACGTTCCTTCTTGGAGGGGGGAGGAGAAGGGCTCCACATCGAGCCCTATCGCCGATGCATCGGCGGCGCGATCCTCCGACCCCGTTTGCTCCGACCCCACTCAGGAGGCCCAGAATCTAGTTAAGCTGGCGCCCCCGAAGGCCGACCCGCCAGATCTCGCGGACGTCTGGCAGCAGGCTCTTCACCAGTTCCTCGTCAGCATCCGCGGGCAGCCCGCCGATGAAGAGGGTGGCCTCGGACCCGGCGGCGTCCTCCCAGTGCTTTGGCCGAGAAGACAGTGCGGGCCGAGGACGCTCCAAAGGACTCAAACTTCTAAGTGTATATACGCAACAATACCTACACATACGTCAGAGTGAGAGGGCCGAACGGTCATTCAGTGTCCCTGGGTGCGTGGCTGTAGTGAGATTTCGCGGCGCAAAATATGTTTCTTGTTGTTGCGTTGTTATGTTGTTGTTGTTGCTGTTGTCGTCCCCTCCGCGACCGGGCCCGCGACCAACCCGCGACCCACACCCGCGACCCAGCCCGCGACCCACCCCGCGACGCACCCGCAACCCACCTGCGACCCACCCGCGACCCATCCCGCGACCCACCCAAGACCCACCCCGCGACCCATCCCGCGACCCACACCCGCGACCCACACCCGCGACCCACCCGCGACCCACCCGCAACACACCCGCGACTCACCCGCGACCCGTTCCGCGACCCACCCAAGACCCACCCGCGACCCTCCCAAAACCCACCCAGGAATCACCATCGACCCAGCCCGCGACCCACCCGCGTTGCTTGAACGAAAAAATCGGCGCCTGCGGCGGGCTCATTGTATAATTTGTAAGAATTATGCGGCTGCGGCGGGTTTCGTCAGAGCCTCGTAGACTGCCGATGTCCCCCCCGCCCGCTCACTTTTATCCGCAACTGCGGGGTGCTACAGTACATGTGTGCACGTTTTGTCACCTGTCGCCAAGGTTCGTTCTTATGCTGTGCTGCGGGTCCCGGGGCTGCCAGCGGAGCGGACGCTCCCAGCTGGAAGTGAGGCTGGTCTGGAGGGACGCCTCCGACTGCCTACCTCCAAACACGCGTGTGTGCACATGGGAGGTGCGGCATGCTCAGGAGAGCTGCCTCCAACGGCTGGCACAAGCACGTCTGGAGGGGGGCCTCCGGCTGCTGGCACCCAAGCAGCATGCGTGCGGAGAAAGGTATTGGGTCGGCGCCCGGGGGCAGCAGCAGGCAAAGCCTTGCACTTTACCCATAGCCTGGCACAGCCGTACCTCCACTCGTATCGAAGCCTGATGATGTGAAGCGTCAGCTGGAATGGAACATACTATCGGCCACGCTGCTGGACACGTGAAACGAATCAAAAAGTCTTCAGTCATCTCCAGGCCCCGCGATTGCGGCAGCAAACTGTGGCAACCTGAGCGGTCGCCCTCGGAAGGACATGCAATCTAACGGGCTGGGTCGTGGAACCAACTTCGAAGATACGCTGCAACTGTCTGCAACCTTTGCCTGAGCTCCGGTTCGACAGACCAGTCCATGGCTTCAGCGACGGCTTCTTGCAAATAGATGTGGCTCGTCGAGGCCTGGGCCCACCTGCCTCGAATGAGCGTGGTCTCGATGAACCATGCGTCTTGTAGCCATAATCGCATCCGCCTCGCCGTAGGCTGTACACAGCTATATTCCGATCTTTCAGGACGAGGCCCTCGAAAATTAGTTGACCTCCCTTCGGAATGCACTGGGCTTCTCCAGCAACGGAGCGGCTGCTGGACGGCGCCCGCGCACTACTGTCTGCAGCGCCCGGAATACCGCACGCGAGCGGACCTACACGAGTTGTTGGGTCCCCTTCCGAGAGCCGCTGTTTGCCTCAGGGAGCACCACCTCGGCCAGAGCTCGTGTATGTGAAAATCCGTATTGATCAGGGCCAAGAGCTCGCCAGACTGGAGAAAGCAATGGATGCCAACGAGCGCGAGGGCAGGTGGGGCGTTCCCTACACCACGTAGGACCTGCAGGTCATTGCCCAGCGGAATGAGATCAAGTCCACACTTCAGGTGATCCACGAGGGCCAGGACCCTGACCACATTCGGGCGTTAACGAATGAGTTGTGGACCGAGCGCCGATCCTTCGCCCGATTTCGTAGTCGGTGCCGCGAAGCTTTTGCGCGGAAGGTGTGCGATCAATCGTCAAAAACAAGCGTACCTTCTACCAGCTGTTGCGCCATCTCGGTATCAATCGTGCTGACAAGCATCGCCAGGGGCAGATCGATTTTCATCTTGAGACGATTGTCACATATGCTGAGACCATCGGGAATGAGCTCCCGCTCAAGTACCAGACCCAAGACGGTTCCCAGAGGGCGCTCTGATACAGATGTCGAGGCGTATTCAGGTGTGGCGACGCGGAAGCCAAGAACGAACAAAAAAGCATCGAGAAACCTCGAACCCCGATCCTCGAACATCGACCCCATGCAGAACAATCTGCCCGTGAGCCCTTCCTGGGGCGCGATCTGACCAGGCTTTCGTGGCAGATGCAGCCGTTGCGAACCAGAGACCCCCGTAGGCCGAACAGGGGCTCAAAACGCCCAGAAACCCCGAGCCTCCCCCAGCGATCATCGATCCCCCTGCCCCTGGCGGATATCCTTCTCCCCGCCGCGCTGCCCCGCCACGGCACCAGGCCTCGCAAGCTCCTCCGCACACGGGTCGCCCCCCCCACCTTCTCCCGGAGGAGGGGGCGTCCGCCGTGCCCTCCCACAAGACAAGACGAGGGCAGCAGATATGAGGGTACATAACACGCAGCCTCGTCTCTATCAGGGGGGCACGGTGACAGAAACTGCGCGCAAGTATGGCCGACAAGCCAGCGCCCGATGTTTATCCGAGCGTGCCCGAGCGTGACAGACACGATTGGTTCGACACCAACCTGATATCCAAGTCTGATCTGAAACCGTTTCGGCTGGCAGGGGCCGGGCGCCTGGCCGTCCCCTCCACGAAGATAAGACGAAAGCAGGATGAGGAAACCCAGATATCCAACGTCTTTGAAGAACCGTCGCTTGTTTTGTGAGTCTCAGAGCACTCTGGCCGTTCCGCAGTGACTTTCCCCTCCTGTAGTATTCTGTCTCTCCTTTGCTTCAGCCGTAATTAACTACGGACGGGCCCGACCGCTAGCCCGATCGCTGGACCCAACTCGCCGCTGACCAAACACTGCTTCGTTGGTTCCGGCCTGGTGGGGACCGTCGCCAAGACCTGTGACTATCAAAATACGACTCTGCATGAAAAGCCGGCCTTGCGGAAATGGTCGGGACTTGAGGGGGGGCACGTATGGAACAAAACAATGCATCGGAGATGCTACTGGGTAGATCTGAAGGATGACAGGGCACTCCCATGCAGCGACCAAACACTACTGGGGTCCAGACGACCCAGCAGCGCTTCGCATGGGTCCACACTTCTGCGTTGCAAAAATCGGCGAAACTGACCCCCTTCCATCTGAGAGTAGTGTACCGGGCGAGCTTCTACCACCCTCTCCATACAAGGAACCCCCAACGGCCTGGCCCTGGCCCTGGCCCTGCTGAAACCCTGGCTCGTCGCAATTCTTCAGTGTCATCTGCTCTCGCCTGGCTTCGGGCCAAATGGGGCCCTTGAGGACCGATCTGGCTCAAAGAACTGCCGTCAGGGCCCGAAGAGGCTCCCGAGAGGGGAAACTCCAACCGACACTTCGAGCTTTCTGCCCCAAAGAGGCCCCAAGATCAGAGGCGCCCAAGAGGACCCCAAGAAGCCCCGAAAAGGCCCCCAAGAAGCCCCGAAGAGGTCTAAGAGAGCCCCAAGAGCACTCCCAAAAGACCTCCAAAAAGATACACTAAATTCGCCGGCCCAACGGGCCAGGGCGTGCTAAGATCTCCGGTAACTGGTTAACAGTATGAACAGTATTTCTAGTTCGCGCGCGCGGGGCGGCCCCTGGGGGTCCCCCGGCGAAAAGTACCCCGACCAACGCCCGGTCGCCGCCCGGTCGCCGCCCGACCGCCGCCCGACCGCCGCCCGACCAAGTCTACTCAGAGATGGTTTTCCTTCTGGGTGCGGCCTCTCAGGCTCCCCAGAGCGCGCTCAGAGTGCCCCAAGAGGCCCCCAAGACTGCCCAAGAGGCCCCCGAGACGCCCAAAGAGCGCTCGAAGACGCCGAAGATGACCCCAAGACGGCCCAAAAGGCCCCCAAGACAGCCCAAGAGGCCTCCAAGACGCCCCAAGAGCCTTCCAAGAGGCCTCCGAAGAGAGCCCCAAGAGGCCAAAATCGTTGATTTTCATTGGTTTTTTCTATGTTTTTTGTGTTCTGGCTTTTTCGGCTTCCGGACGCTCCAAGACGGCCCAAGAGGCCCCCAAGACCGCTCCAAGACGGCCCACGAAGCTCCCAAGACGGCGCCGAAACGACCCAAGAGAGCCCTCAAGACGGCCCAAGTGCCGCCCAAGACGGACCAAGAGGCCCCAAGACGGGCCCAAGAGGGACTCAGGAGGGATACCGAGAACTCAAAAATGGAGCCCTCCGTCCCAGAAGGCGCCCAGGAGGTCCCAAAGAGGCCCCAAGAGGCCTCCAAGAGGCCCCAAGATGTCGCCAAGAGGCCCCAGGAGACTCCCAGGAGGCCCAAAAGAAGCCCCAGAAGGCTTCAAACATGTCTCCCAGGCGCCCCCGAACGGCCTCTCAACAGACCCCAAGAGGCCCCCCAAAGAAGCATCTTGACGACGACTCTATTTCGCCCCATCGAGAGACGACCCCCAGGGAACTGCTTCACCATCAAAACTCCCCACGCAACGCGTCCGAACGACACCCGCCCCCAAGAGCGCAACATGGGCAACGAACACACAGACAAAAACCAGCGATGCCATATCACGGGCCGGCGGAATGAGCGAAGCGATTCAATAATTTGGTATCGAAAACAACCGTATCACCCCACTTCATCAGGGGACATTGCAACGCTTCCAGCACTGGGGCCGGGACCAAAGCGATATCCCCCGGACAGTCCTCCCCCTCCTCCTCCTCCTCCTCCTCCTCCTCCTCCTCCTTCTTTCTCTCACTCCTCCCCCAGATTCTCCTGAGGTCCAGGGAGGTCGCCGAAGCTTCCCGTGGGCAATGTCCGATTGGTTCCCCGTTGGTATCCCACCAGCCCTTTAGGGCGTAGGTGGTCTAGAGAGTTTCCTCTGCCAACCCCCCTTCTTTCCCTTCGGGGAGGGGTTTACCCCTCCCCTTACCCCTCCCCACTGACCTGGACGGGGCGTTCCGCGACG